AGAGACCGCCCCCAGGTATTAAAGCCATAAAGCCTTTGAATGAAAACAAACACTGTTGTGACAGTGATGTACAGTCTTGTTGGTATATGTATGATTTCTATACATTTTACATCAGATAAAAACTTTGGTTGTAAGATTCAGATAATTTTTAATAACAGTGAGACATTTTAAATGAGAATAAGAAAGAAAATGGTAAATGGTCTGTATTTGTAAAGCGCTTTACTTGGTCCTAAGGACCCCAAAGCGCTTTACACTATACACATCATCCACCCATTCACACACACATTCATACACTAGAAAAGTATTTCTTTGTGCCCCCTTTCCCTGTTAATGCCCTACCTGGCCCCCTGGCAACACTTTGCTAGACCCGCCTGTTGTGGAAGTTTTCCATTTAAATAAAGCCTGCAGACGAGCGGTGAGCGGTAGCTAACATTCTTTAATCAAAACACACAAAGAACAGACAACCAAGCTTGATGGAGAGCCTACATGACCACGGGGCAGGGTCAGCAGAGTCTCCCTGAGCCTAGCATGGCTCTCAGTTAAATACCTTCTCCAGGAACAAAAGGCAGTACACAGCTGTTTCACACCTTAACACTAGAATTACTGAGCCTTTTTTTTCCCTGGTGCGAGTCCCTACTACTAGATTTACTAGCCCTGCGCAAATTTGCGTAAATTCCACTGGCACTGCGTTGTCTTTACAGTCCCTGGCACAGCAGCTGCAGCAGCTTCAGCAGCCTGCGTCTGTGCTAATATTTCCTTGTGCTACATGAATCGGCAACGAAGTTCCTGAGCTAGAAGACTCAGAAACAATCTTCTTTTGCCTGTCCACCCTGTACATGCCTTGTACAAAATGTAGGCATTCACCGCTAACAGGTCCAGCATATTGTAGAAAACCGCTACTGACCACCTGCATGTTGCTGCTCTTATGGAATACATCCGCACAAGTTGAGTAAGTTCACGCCAGACTTTATTCACCGTGCCCCATAACGGCGTTTGCGCTGCAGCAGTCTGTGCGACAGTGACAGTGAAGTAAAGAAATTGTCTGTTGTGACGTTTCTCCCATCATCCAAAAACGGCTCCATCAGTTTCATGACCACGTTCTTGATCCCAAATTTGTCTGGCTTGGCTGCGATACACTGTGTGAATGGACAACGAACCTTGGTAGGGAACAGCTGTTCATCTATGGTCATGTGTTCTCCTGGAGTGAAACTCTTAGCACAGTTCTTGTTGAAGCGTGTCCAGATGTCGGAGATCGCCGCAAATTTATCTGTTTTCACCCGTTCTGCCCGCGTGTCCCTGTCATCAAATCGAAGGTGTTGCATAATTGAAATGAATCTATCTCGGGGCATTGTCTCTTTGATTACTGGCACCAGAAATCTTTCTGACCAGCAATCCACAATGGCACCAACAGGACACATGATTGCTCTTACAAACAGGATTGAAATGAATGCCATCAGTTCATGAACTGACAAATTCCAGTCCGGCTCTATTCTGTGGGCTTGATGGACCGTACACTCCCTGATGGTCTGCAGCATTCCCACGTCTAACAGGCAAAGGAAGCTTTGGAGCACACTTGTAATCTTGCGCTGTCGGAAGATAAACAAATAGAGAATGGTAAATTTACATGAACCTCACTCTAAATGGGTTTATATAAATATCATATCTACTATGGCAGTGACAAACCTTAGCAGACTCTGTGGGTCCAGCTTGCGCAGTGAAGCACGAACGATTTGCTACTGCACTGGGCATTGCAATGTCCTCCTCTACAGTGCCGTCTTTTGCCGTGTGGCTCTGGCTGGGCTTCCCAGTACCACGGGGCCTCTTCTGTGGAGGCATGTTGGGTTCTTGTTCCGTCTCCTTTTCAGATTCTTCTGAGGAGGTATCAGTGGCCTGCTGGACAAATGAAACCTCTCCTCCATCAGAATCTGCTTCGTCCATTTTCTGAAGCAAAGCCAAAGCCTGTTGCGCGGAGAGGTTCTTCCTGCGTGGCAGTGATACGGAGGCCATCCTGATGTGCGTTCTCAGAAATGCGAACAAGAAATGATTCTCCCGTCTGGGTCGGTCTGCTTTTATGCACAGCACTGTGCTGTAGTCAAGCAATGCCACTCCCTCACATACACAGTGACAATGGAACAATGGAAGATCTGTGCTGAACTCAAGGAAGGTGTGAATGTGTGTCTTTTATATTTGCAGGTCAGTCAATGTGTGGGATATTTTGTATAGATACGGCAGGCATTTCTGAAAGTCGTAACACAGAGGTTTGGCCTGACTTGGATCTGAGCAACTCTGAGTGAGCAAATGCAAATGTGCCAGGCCTCAAGGATAATGGGTGGTTTGCACAACAAAAGCTGGAGGAGAAATGAGCTGACGACCTGTGAAATCTCAGCAGGGGTGATTAACACCTCGGGACTTGCACCAGAAAATAAAAAAGCCAGTAATTCTAGGGGTGTTGGGTTTAGGGAAGTTACGCAAATTTGTGCAGGTTTAGTAAATCTAGTGATAAATACGTGGTAGAAATCCCAAAAGGGTGATTCTGTTCACCTGGACGTAGCATTTTCAACGGAGAAACGCCTCCTGAACTGAATTGTCTCAGTTGATGGCCATGCGGTTGGCCTCCTGAACTGTTTCTTTGGACTGTTTTTCCTCCTCTTCTGAGTTTTCCTTCCTGGAGCTCCAGCACCCACCCAGGTTTGGTGGAAATGTTCTAATTTTAAGAGTTTGATTGCAAAAGAATAAACTGCTGATGTCCGCAGAAGTTTTTAACTTTGGTTGAAAGGACAAACTATGAAAAATAATAGACCTTTGAGGATTTGAGCATATGGCAAACATTATGCAAAGTTCCTCTTAATTGTAAACACAAATCTGAGGATGTTGGAAGACATGTGTGGTTCTCATCAGCTTTGTGGCATGTAGATGCTCCTTTTTTTTTTTCTTTTTAAATCGTAGTCTGGAAGAATACTCATAAACACTGAGGTCCTGCTATGTGCCAATGTGTATCTGGGCCATTACTAAACAAAGATGTGAAGCAATGTTAATAATTGTTGGTAACTTTTTTTTCATTTCCAGGTTTCAGTTACTGCTGTTGATATGTTAAGAGTAAGAATAAGTTCAGATTCTCTTAAAGATAACAACACTAATATGTTAACAATTGTTCGACTTGTGGAGGTATTTTGAGAACCCTTATAAACATCTGAAGGAAAAATATTCTTTAATCATAGATGCAGACTCATGGAAAAAATATTGATTAATCGTTTTATTTGATTTTGTAGAGTTGGAACAAACAGATTGGATTCTCAAAATCAGTCAGTTTCTTGGGGTCTGAAGCAACAACAGAACAGGGCTCTGAATTTTTGGCAGAAGCCCTTTTTTTTCTTCTTTTTCTCCTTTTTCTCCTTGATTTTAATGTTGTCAGACTTCTCTGAATTATTAGTAAAAGAGACAACTGGCTCAGACATGGATAGACATACAGAAGGGAGTTCCTCACTAGGAAGATCATCAGACGTTGCCAGACTTTCAGAAGCAGGCTCTTTAGTAGGAAGAACATCAGCCTTTGATGAACTTTCAATGAGAGGTTCTTTAGTAGGATGAACATCTGGAACATCTGACTTTGGCAGACTTCCACGAGCGGGTTCTCCAGTGGGAAGAATATCAGCCATTGTTGAACTTTCAAAAAGAGGTTCGGAAGTAGGAAGAACATCTGACTTCAGAACACTTTCCCAAGCAGGTTCTTGAGGTTCTTTAGGAGGAACAACATCTGGCTTCAGCAGATTTTTACAAGCAGGCTCTTTAGTCGGAAGAACATCAGCCTTTGTTGAACTTTCAAAAGGAGGTTCGGAAGTAAGAAGAACATCTGACTTTAGAACACGTTCAGGAGCAGGTTCGTGTGGTTCTTTAGTAGGAAGAACACCTGACTTCAGAACACTTTCACAAGCAGGTTCTTTTGGTTCTTTAGTAGGAAGAACATCTGACTTCAGAACACGTTCACGATCAGATCCTTTTGGTTCTTTAGTAGGAACAACATCTGACTTCAGCAGATTTTCATGAGCAGGTTCTTTAGCTGGAAGAACATTGGCCTTTGTGGAACTTTCAAAAAGAGGTTCGGAAGTAGGAAGAACATCTGACTTCAGAACACGTTCACGATCAGGTCCTTTTGGTTCTTTAGTAGGAACAACATCTGACTTCAGCAGATTTTCATGAGCAGATTCTTTAGCTGGAAGAACATCAGCCTTTGTTGAACTTTTGGAAGGAGGTTCGTGAGTGGAAAAAATATCAGCAATTCGTGAACTTTCAACTGGAGGTTGGGAAGTGGGAAGAACATCTGACTTCAGCAGACCTTCAGGATGAGGTTCTTTAGTTGGAAGAACATCAGACACTACTGGACTTTCACAAGGGGGCTGGAAGATCTGGCATATGCTCGTCTTTGCTACATCAGAAATTGCCCTGAGTAGTCCTGGTGCAAAGTTTGCAATGTGGCTCAGCAGAATCTTTTCTGAATATTTCTCTCTGACTTCAGACAGGATACTTTGCACCATGTCATCTCTGATGGACCTTGAGAAGATGGCCTGGTTTTCCGTTGTTAGGAGAGATTTGGACACTCGATCCAAAGTGGCCTTTGTCACACTGGTGGAGAGGATGCTCAATTTTTGGGAGGACATGTTCAGTAGGGGGTAAGAAGGAAGCTTCCAGAAGCCATGCAGGACACGGGGAACCACCTCTATCACCACGTCTGTTGCAGTGAACAGTTTGGAGGTTTGTGCGTCCTGCTGCCTCTCTTTAAGGAGGTCAATGTACTTCCTGACATTGCTGAGGAGCTTAGGTGTTCTGCAGAATAAAGTTATAAGAATGATCTTTTACACCTATTTAAAAAAATAACAGAAATTTTGAAATACTGTAGCTGGACTGTTAATGATTTTATGTCAGAGGTGACTCACTGAAATTTAGGAGGTATGGCCTCTGGAAATTCCAGCAGCATCCGGGCTTGAAACTCGATGTCCCTCATTTTATTTATTGTGTTCACTGCCCACACCTGAAACAGAAAGCATGTTTACATTGCAGTTTTGTTGAGAGGTTATGTGATTGTAGTAAAAAAAAAAAAAGATCTCCAAATGACTAAAACTCTTGTGAGTTTTCTAGTCTTACCAGTTTCAGAAGAGGTTTGGCTTCTGTTTCTTCCAAACCCTCCAATTCAAACTCCCAAAGTCTTCAAAAGAAAACAAAAGAGAGGTTTTCTCTCAGCATTTACACTTCAGCACAAACAGTTTCAGGTGTGAGGTGGATGGTCTGTAGGTGTCACAGTAACTCACTGCTCTCTGACTGTCTCTTTGCTCCTCTCCACCAAAAGATCTCCCATATCTTCTGCAGTGAGGCTTGATGGTATTTGGTTTTCCTTCTGAAGTCTGAGGAATTCCATCATCATTGCAATCTAAAAATAAAAGGAGACATTTAATCAGCATCAGTCCCAGGTCTTCAGAAATCACCTGACATTTTATCTCAGTTTTGGTTTGGATGGATCTGGGTCTTACCTGAGCCCTGTAACCTGGTAGATACCAGCAGATCTCCACAGCTGTGTTATATATGGGTGTGTTGAACAGCACCTGTCAAAGAAATAAGAAATTACTCATTGTAACTTAAATTGATTCTCAGTTTGTCAGCTTTTTAAAACTACATCAAATTCTTCAAAAATGCAGTAAAAACAAAAAGTGTCACATACCCTGATGGGTTTGTAGATCCCTTTACTGGCTTCCATTAAAACGCTGCTGTTCTATCACAGTTGGGGAAGAGAAACTTTCCAAAACTCTTCAAAACTTGTGTAAGATCAAATGTAGATATGAAAATACTCCTGACTTGATGGTTTTCTTGCACAGATGAGCTCTTTTTCAAGTCTGATGCAGATTTAAAAATACACAATTCTAAAACAGTCACCATGGAAACATTTGATCCCTGCTTTATGTCATTAAATTAAAAGAAAACACTCTATTTTACACTACATTACACTATATGTTGTTCATTATATAAGTAAATAAGGGTAGGCTACAGCCGTCCTTAGGTCACTCCTGTGAAAAGATGCATACAAACTGGTGAATCAGAAAAGAAAGAAAGCCAACCTGCAGCATTATGTCCTTTTATGTTATTTCAATTCACTTCAGTTTTATTGATACAGCACCAAATCACAACAACAGTCGGCTCAAGGTGCTTTACTTTGTAAGGTAGACTCTAAAATAATATACACAAGGAGAAAAACCCAACAATCATATGACCCCCTATGAGCAAGCACATTGGCGACAGTGGAAAAAAACTCCCTTTTAACAGGGAGGAAGCGCCGGCAGTAACAGGCTCAGTGAGGGGCGGCCATCTGCCAGGAGTGGTTGGGGTGAGAGAACGAAGATGGGACAAGAAGCATGCTGTGGAAGAGAGACAGAGATTAATAACAAGTGCGATTCAATGCAGAGAGGTCTATTAACACATAGTGAGGGAGAAAGTCTCTGTCTGCTTTTCCTAATGCTGAGGTGAGGAGGACTATTAGCCAATATAAAGGCGACACTGGCGACCCGAGTGTGGAAACAAATGGTTTGCACAAGAAGCGGTCACTGAGCGATCAAAGCTTATTTACCACACATAAAAAATCAAGGCAGAGTAGAAGCGGGTGGATCGATTTTTAATGAATTTTAAGATTATGTTTGTTTTTCTTATTCTTGAAAAAAAGATCATTTAGCCTTTGTTTCCCTTTTTATAAACTACTACTTATGTGTTTTTTCTTATTTATGTCTATATTGTTTTGTTAAACAGATGACAGTTTTCCCCTTTTTACTACTTTTTGAACTCTATGCTGATGTTTAAAGATTTTATTATTACTAAATAATGTTTTTAGCAATTAGGTGAAAATAAATACCAGATGAAACGATATTCTCTTCTGTTATCTTTTATTATTTGTTACTTGAATCAGTATCCGCACTGCACACAATCAAAGTTATTTTCAAAACATGCAGAAACAGGTCTTATTTTGTTAACAAAATGACAAACCATTGCATCGTTACAAACAAGGTTATCACTGTACATATTAATTAGTCTTGAATAAGACGCTCCTTTTTGGACATGATATAGAAAAAGCACACAGTGTTGTCCGCAGGTTACCGAAAAGTCCTTCTGAACCTGTCTCCCAGAATACAATATCCGAGCGGTGTTTTTAAAAGAAAAACTTTTATCTCGGGTGAAAACTTATCAGGTGAGTTACCGAAGCTGTCAAAAAAGTGCCCTTGCTTGTCTTTTGTGATATTGAACGCCAACCAGTGCTTCCCAGGTAAGTCTGATGGATCTGTATTCACAATGCCCATGCATGGATATCTGATGGGCTTTGTTGGCAGCTGGTCACATGCTAAGACGCCTAGAAGATGAGCCCTGTTACTAATCCTTTTAACAATGCTGGTTAGTTCTATTGTATTCATTTTGAATGTTTAGTAGTCGTCCAGCAGCACTTGTCTCATTAGATATTTGGATGACTGAATCAAATACAGAGTAACACACCAGGTTCATTGTTCGGGTAGCGGATTTCTGAAACGGGTTTCCAGCCTCACGCTCCCTGTTTGAACTAATGATACGTTCCCTGAATGTCCTTCATCAGCTTCCAGATTGAAACAGGAATTGTTTGGCCAGATACGACTGTCCATCAGCGTATAAACACATGAGTTCTATATCACAGTTTTAAAATTAAATGGATTACGTGTAAAAGAACCAGGATAAGCTTCGTTATCCACGAAGGCGATGATGACAAATTTAGGCAACCTGCCCATAAATAAATTAGTTGATATTCTTGCCCCAGCAGGTGTGGAGAAGGTCTTTAAAGAAACTCTGCTACAGCATATTTTGCATTTGCATGATGCAGCGCCTTGCCGTGTGCCAGCCTGACACTTGGTGAGACACTGATTCTTTTCACAAATAAGCTGGCAGGGACGATTTTAACTTTATACGCGGTGTTAGCTCCAGTCATGAGAGCAAATTCGTCTTTAGAGCGCACAAATTTCAGCGACAGATCGATTCCATTAAGTAATAATTTTTCTTGAAAAAACAGGTCTGCGTGTACTGGAGCAATCAATTCAACAATACTGCTATTCGCTGTATAAGTACCTCTGGTCACCAGACCCTGGCTCTCCCCTTCTATACATGTATCATTCATGTGCGAGGCTGTGTCTGTACAGAATAAAGCGCTGCTGAACTGTGTGTCTAAAGTCTGCTTATTATAATTGATAAGACATTCTATTATGCCTCTGTATGGATATGTGTTGGATGATTGGCTGATCAAGCGATCCCCCAAATTTACATCTACCTGACTAAATAAGGTGCAACCTGGATAATTAACAAGTCCCACGTTTGTGTCACGGGGTGGAGAGGGACAAGTTACCTAAGATATTTTTATTGTGCATGTTTGGTTTTGTTTTTACTGTCTTTAATATTTTAATATTGTATAGTGTTCTATTCTTGGTTTTATTGCATGTTTTATGGTATTCATCGGTGACTTGTCCTGGAAAGTCTCCGCCCCTCCTTGATTATGAACCCGACACACCTGTGAGGTCCCGGGGGCCAATAAGAGTGATGGGAGACGAGAGAGAGGAGATTGATGGTGGAGTGAGGACTGAGCGAGTGAACGGTATCAGGCGGTGGCGGTGCCACAAGCCCAGACGGGCTGGTGCCGGTTGGTGTGCCACAGGAAAGCGGTGGCAACCGGAACAGAAACATCGATAGGGCGGCGAGACGCCGCCGGGTTTTCCTTCTTCTAAGGCGGCTAGAGTTGGCTAATGCAGGCACCAGCGCGCAGAGGCACCAGCGCGCAGAGCACCAGCGCGCAGAGAGCACCAGCGCGCAGAGAGCACCAGCGCGCAGAGAGCACCAGCGGAAGCCACGAGACGGCTGTGCCTATTTCCAGTTTTAAAGAAGCGGCGGGCGGAGTTGAGAGCTCTGCCCACCCGGGCATATCGGGGCGTGAGTGCGAGAGGGAGGCGAGGACTCCGCTGGTTCCTTTGGTTATACCACCTGCTGGATTTCTTAGCTCCCTGGGACTTTTAGGTCGTGGCGCAGGCCACAGGACTTTTAATGTTATGCTTTATTGATTTTTACTGTGTTACCCCTTGGCCAAGGTTGTTTTAATTCATTTTACATTTTTAACTATTTAAATATAATAAATTATATTTTTAATCTTACAGTTTAAATTGTGTGCTTTCCCTTGGCGGCTCCACTGCTCTGCCCGTTTTGAGGAAGGTTTCCTTCCTTTAAAAAAAAAAAAACACAAAACACTGTGGAAATAAAATCAGCCTTTCCGCTCCGTTACATAATCATCCCTGCCTAAGTTTGTGCCGTCAGCATCTGTGATTCTTACTCGTGTGTAGATATAGGAATCGTTTAGATCCAGGTAATCCTCTCCGGACGATGAGATTTAAACTCGATTGGACCTCCGTCTGTGATTGCAGAAACTGGTGGAATTTCAATAAAGGTCGTTTTCTCTATGGACGTTTGTGTGTATGGGACAGTAAAAAGATCGAGCTCTGTTTTTAGACATTCTCTGATTGGTTGTGTAACAGAGCCATTTAGAAGATGTCACATGCTGTAGTTTTTGAACGACTGGTTCTGGGTCTTTTCACTCCGCGTGGTTGTCTCCGTTTGGTGGCTTTCCTGGCAGGTTTTGTCGTTTTACGCTTTTTAGGCGGCGGCGTATCACCCATGCGTGCAGTGGGAGGGGTCTTAGAAGGTTTGGGTGTATACACATACAAGCTGTTGCCATCCTGCTCAGTAGATGTTGGCTTGGTTATGTTGGATATCACATCAGACACTATGCCTGATGCTGCTGTTTTTAGGTGGGGTTTGACTATGCTGACTCCTTTTTTAAACAACGGTACAGCAATTCTAAACAGGCTGCGGAACAAACCTCCCAGACCTGCGCCACATTGCGTGCTGGTCCCAATATAACCATTCAATTCGCCACCAGCCTGAAAAACGGTATGTGTTGATTTTGGTCGTCTATCAAATCAATTTCTATGTCATGGATTAAGGATTTGGAGACCGGTGTGTAGTGTGGGCTGTCAAATTGAAGAATGGCTCCCCGACGGTCATCGTCTGTTATATTTATTGCTCTTAATAGCTGCGCATGGGCGTCACCCACAAGCTGGTAATCAACGATATCTGCATAAATAAAAATGTTCTATTTTCTGCCGTATACGTCTGCAGGATGTGGTGCGTATGTGTTTTTATAATGAAGTACAAACGGGTCTTCTGATTTGAATCCTAAGATTCCTGCCAGTCTCCCTCTAAATGTGAGAACTGTGCCCCTAGGGCCCATAACACTAACATAGTTACTAACTTCACTGTATTGTGTTTTAATGTCGGTGTTATGTTTTAATGTTTTATTATCTGCGCCACAGATGCATAATGCCCCACAGACAGCTCAATCACGGTTATGGACAATGCTCCATTTGACTGGATCATAAATTTCCACTCGCGAATCTGATTGTGGAAAAGACAACCATAGTCTTGGGTATTGAAATTCTATAACACCGACCTCATACGGTTCATTTAAAACAACAGGTTTTGCTAGCTTTGTTCTAAAATTAGATTTCTTATTGCCTGGATAAACATGTGCTGAAGCATTCGAGAAGAGGCTCACATAAAAGCCTGCGTTGTTGTTGTTCGTTTTATCCATTCCTTCCTTCCTTTATCAGTTCTTGTCTAGTGCAGAAATGAAAGTATGCAGAGCTGCGGCGTCTCTGTTAATCACACTTCAACGATGTCTTTTTCAGGGATCCATGATTTTCAAA